AGCTTAATTGTCGTCTGTTGGGGCGCCATCTGAGGCGAGAAGCACATCGACATCAACCTCCTGACTGATGTCGATCCCCCCAAGTTTGTCCGCCCACTCGTCAACCACGTCTGTGTCCCCCTTCTCCTCAGATGTGGACTCCATTGCAACTGGAGTGTCTGTGATGGTCTGTTGTGTCACGGCTGGTCTAGACGTGCTCTGTACCGGAGTAGATGTTTTTTCCTCTAGAGGTGGCAGGCTCTCCAGGTACTGACCACCCTGGTTCCTGAACCTCACGTATACAGAGCCCATCAAGTAGCAGAGGCGTCTGCCTCTAGCTAGTAGCCCCTCCGCGACGTCCCTGGTCGTGCTGAACACCAAAAAGGTGCTATCGTCACCTGCGATGGCCTTGTGCAGGATCCATCGGTCAACCTCTGCGAACTTGTTCTGGTAGCGCAGCAGCTTGGCGATTGTGTGTGGTTCTCGCGTCCTCGGTATGAGGAGGCCACAAACCACTCTCTTCGGCCTGTCGATCTGGCGCTGCACTACTAGGTCGTCTAGCCCCGGTATTTTTAGGCTGTCCACTACCTTCCTGACCCACTCCAGTGTTTTGGGTGTTTCGCACCAGAGGCTCAGGGCGCCGTCCCCAATGATGGGTTTTCCCTTAAGGTTTGGGGCTTCGTCCGTTGAGGATCCTGCTGTTAGCAGTTCCTCCACAACGGCCTCCTCCAGGGCCTTAAGGACCAACCCAGCCTGGGTGGCACTAATGTGTCCCGTCTTTTTGCTGGTGATAATCACCAGCAGGTCTGCAGTAGCTGCGTCGGCGAAGGAGACCTTCCCAGAAGAGCGACGCGGTTCGTCGTTTTTGGGCTTTTTATATTGCCCCCTCGGTGACACCGTGTCATCAAGTCTGGGCCTCTTTGAGGCCTCCTGTCTGTCTGTCTGTCCGGTCTTGGTCTGTCTTTTTTCTGTCCGTCTGTCAGTCCATTTCCTTTGTCCGTCTGTCTGTCCCTGGTCCTGGGTTCCTTCCTGACCCGCTTCCGCTTGTCTGGTGGTCTCCGCCGAGAGAAGTCTGTCGCGGGCCTTCCTAGCGCGTTTACCGTGCTTCAGTCGGCCCGTCTTCGGTTTGGTGTCCTGAGCTGGATTCCTGGTTTTGTCCTCCACGCGCCGATTTTTACGTCGGTGCGTAGCGACTTGCCAGGAGTCAAGCTCGTCTGTCGTGTCCTGTGGTTGCTGCCTGAAACCGGGTTGCCCCTTCACCAGGTCTGCCAACTCACTGGACGTAGATGGTCTATTGTCTGTCTCCGTCGGCCTGAAACCGGGTTTCCCCTTCACCAGGATCAACGACGGTTGTCTGTCGGTCTCTGAGTCTTGCCTGAAACCGGGTTTCCCCTTCACCAGGTCATCGTCTGTGTCTGTCTTTTTAAATTGGGATCTGTTATGTGCCATTTCCACGTGTCTAATAAAATTCATCCTCACCAGTCCCACCCGCCACGGAGCCACAACTGGGATGCCGATATTAAAAATCAAGGCACCAGGATTGTGGTGAGGATATAGGGGCACAGGGTTTTCCTCTCAGCGCGACATCGGGAACTGCAGCTACATGGCTGGTAGTCGATCCCAACTACCAGTGGTTCCATGCAACCTTGCTCCTTCAGCATGGCCGGAGTCCATCGCTAGATGTTAAGAGCGACCCCCACACCCCTCGCCGGCGACCCATAGACGGTAGACGCCCTGACCGTTGCCTCGTGGTCGGCTACACCACGAAGTTGCCGTCTCGCTTGAAATCCGGGCCAAAGTGCTGTGTTGCTTCCGGGGTGCCGCAGCTACCCTTTCCGCTCAAACACCAGGATCCCTTCATCCCTGCTTACGGCGATGCTGCGCAGGTCCTAGCGCAGGAGAGGCTGACGCACCACCAGGCCGCCTCCCTACTCCTGGTGGATGGGGAGGAAAATCGTCTGACCATTTCAGTTACGTCTGTTTCATAGGGAATCAGACCAATAACGGGCGGCAACCACGTGAAGGAAAACAGCCAGGCTTGTCTGGGGGATCTACACGACCTGCGCTCGCTCCCCAGACCATTCACCAGATTACCAGACGGGACGCAGAATGGTAAAATAGGTGATGTGTTAGGTTTAGCCGTCTTTGTGCTATATATAAACCTAACACATCCCCCGCCCTACCGTAACAGTAATTGAATTGTATTAGCGCAATTGTTTTCTTAGTTTCACAGAATTTTCTTATAAACTTTATCACATTACAGCTTGACAGGACGATATTGGGTCTTACCTTATTGAACGAAAGTTACAGTTAAGTTGTACATCATGTTGCGTCTCTGTCTATTTTGTAGGATTGTCGTTAGGTCATGATATCTCTTTTCCTCGAGTCTGCCAGTCTTTTAATACTATGTTCATGGGTGCGAGAGAGACATGACATACGGTCACGATCATGTGACGCGCAAGGTGCACACGAGGAGAGTTATTTTGGTATAGCCAACGATATTAAATACCCTAGATACAGCACGTGCGCTCAAAATGTGTCCCAATCAAGAAGTGCTTGAACACACTTATTGAACACCATTCAAGCACTTCTTGGTTCTCAGTCACGCGCAGATCGTTAAAAAGTAAAAATGCCGCCAGAGCGTCGTGAAAATATGCGAAAAAAATATTTATAGTACGTAAAGTGTCGTTTTTTCGACAGGTATCCAATCATTGTTTGTTAATTTACCGCATTTGAAGCAGATTTTGTTCTTTTAATTACTATAAACTGATTAAGTAGAAAAAAATGTGATATTCAAATGTATGGTCGGTAATATAGTCGTCTCTTCTCCTCGCTCTTTCTGAATACGCCGCTGAAGGTCCCGTACCTGCTATATTGCTAACAGCGTATTCAGAATTGCGCGAAGAGTCAAAGATATAAGGTCTATATTCTTCCGCATATAGCAATAAGTCGTAAAATTTTACGAACTTGCATTTTGAACTGTCATTACTCTTTTAACGCATGCGTTTTAATTATATAGTATGTATTAAAGGTGACTTTCAATGTATGCTTTATATTTTTTTTTGACTACGCGATCATCCTACGGACCTCCGTGGATCGTCCAATGTACTTATTGGACAGGTTTCGGCTACGATTTTGTTCGTGTTGCTGTATCCAGGGTATTTAATATCATTGGATGTAGCTAATAAAATGCAATTAATTAGCAACACGATAGAAAACGCCAATACTTATAGTTGCGTAATTTTGTAAGTTCAAAGGGATCTACTTACCTGAAATACGACACACCAAGGTTTTTATATGGATCTCGTGTAAATTGTACAGTTTTTAACCGAACATTTTACGCGGCGTTATATCAAGGCGCGGTCGAAACACGAGCCGCTCAGAGAATGCGTTTCTGACAGGTCGTGTCAGTTCCTTATGGCGACAGAATAAAGTACACTTTAGATCTAATAAAAAAAGAGGTTCGAAAATTAACTTTAATGCTATCAGAATAAGGAACTGACACGACCTGTCAGAAATGCATTCTCTGAGCGGCCGAACTTTAATTGAAAATTACGCACCATAGACGCGTGTGCGTAACTTTGCTTGCGATACTTTTTGAGCGCAGTTGTAGGTCTACTTGTTTTTATATGTCAACGATTAAACCCTAGCATAGTGTATATACCTAAATTGTATAGGCATGTGTCAATAGGTTAATTAAAAAGTGTTATCAAATTTATTATGAATGTTAGTTAATTAATTACTATCTATATCAAAATGTATCAAACAAACTTATTGTCAATCTGAGGTCTGTATCGTATATAGGAGGAAGGAGCGGACGAGCTTAGGTCCAAAGATAAGGCAGGGTCCGTGTTAGCTGTTTAGTTAGCTGGAAATAAATACACATTTCGTCATAATTTTTATACCACACATTCAGAGAATAATAGTCACATGACCGGGATGCGCACTGCTTTTATTATTAATAATTGTCAGTTTATATGGCTATTTATTACAATATGAAGTATGTAGATCCACAGAAAGACGAAGTATCATACGTAATAATTTTAATAAAGGTAAGGCCTTGACCTAAAATAACTCTTCATCTTTGAACTGGATTACTATGAAGTTTTTTTAAAAAGAAAAGGATAAAACCAAACTCATTACTGGTCTGCGATTCAATAGGCTGTGCTTAATTGTATATTTTGTTATCGTTTCTGTAAGTCATTGATATGATAAATAATGTGTAAGAAATACTTATTAATGATGGGATTCTTTAGTATAATATTGACACCACATAACAGTTTCACAATTTGGACTTGCATTTGGTTTTCTGTGTTTTATTAAGTTTTATAAATTGTTTTTACTCCATTTTAATTGATGTTAAATGTGTTGATGTTATATTTTAATAAATATTTAAGATTACTTTATTGTATTATTTACCTACCTACTTCTTATTACACGACTGTCAGTCAAATAAATTATCGGATTTTTATGTAAAAAGGTACATCGCGGCTATAATTATTAGCTTTTACAAAAAAAATATATAATAAATAAGTAGATGTTATTAGCTTGAATAAAAAACAAATGACAAAAACTTATTATTACACTTGCCGACATGCTGAATAAAATATTAACCAAATATGGAGCAAGATTGAAATAGCTTTTTATATCCTATGAGATCATGCACCTATAGGTAGGTACTTGAACTGTTTGTGTGTTTACGTAGGTACATGTTTACAAAGGTGCTGTCCAACGGCCTGTGTTGTCGCAGGCGCGGCCGCGCCACGCAGAGTTGCCAAACGTATGAGAACTCTAACGTTTGAGATTTAGCAGTCTCTATATATGATACGAGGTAAATAGAAATCTCGTACACTTTGTGATGTCATAACATAATAATGAAGCTGTACTTGCTGAGTGTCGATCCTTTGTGGACTGGACAATAGAACCTGCTCCGTTAATTATCGTCGGTCGTTTAAAAACAGGCTTTCTCACTGTTATCTAGGTAAACATCTTGCATTTTTATCAAACGCACATCCCCGACAGTAAAACGCTACCATATTACAAAAAACTTTTTATTGATCAAATATACAAGTTAGAATTTAGAACATTTGAGGGACCAGTATTCACATGAGAAATAACTTTCAGTTTCTTCAATAGAGTTTGAATTTCTTCAATTTGATAGTCTTCTGGATGTTCCGTGTAACAAATAACTGCTGTACCAGGAAGATCCAAATGGTCCCTTAGACAAATAGCTAAAACAAAAGTATTTATATGTTCAGTAACCTTCACCGTACAGAAAACTACAATCGTGAATCGTGCCTACTGACCGAAATAAGCTGAATCGTTTTTCGGAATTTATTTCAAAGAAACTCGACCCTACTGCCATCAACGGAAGAATAGCAGAAGTTTTTAGTACCCGTTAGTTACGCTAAGAAACAGCTTGCTCTTATCCCGGGCTCCCACGGAGAGCTTTGTCACTGCCCAGAATGCGCCCAGTCAACTGGCACGTCGAAGAAGTGGAGGTCCTTAAATCTGGCCGGGGATGATTTGCCATGGCCTGAGGAGTCCAGTTTTAGTTTCCCTACTCGCTAATAAGGGGTGTATTCCGTAGTATATACCAGTATACTGGCCAGTGCTAATGACGTCATTAATATCCGTTTTCCCGGTAAAAATATGGTAGCATACCAGTACAATATGGCGTCGGATTTGTGACGTCATTACCACTGACCAGTATACTGATGTTTATTTCGGAATACACCCTTATTGTTGGTGACGTCACCGATGAGGTTCCGAATGATCGCCGCACCCCCACTCAATGACTTTCTTTGTTTTTTAGAGTTCATTAAAGCATTTTACTTTTGTTTATGGTTTTTGAGGATTTGATGCAGTACCACTGCCATGGTTTCAATTAAAATCACTGATTAAATCAAGATTTGAAGATCAAGACACAAATTAAGATTAAAATTAAATGACATGAATAAAAACACTAACCTTCAGCTTTTCTGTTCTTAATCAGTTTCAGATTTAAGAATCTACAAATTCAAAGGTCGAAAAGACTATTCACACTGAAGCCGACGATACAATGGCTCCAAATAATTGACTAAAGCTCTCTCCACTCCATATTAACTTTTTTGAAAAATTTCGTCACTTAACATCAATTATTTGACTGGTTTTAAACTTTAATTATAAGTGGTACTTAACCTGACTCAATATCGAGTCCTAGCATCCTCTAGTGCACTTTTTCCTCTTCTTCTTAGGAAGTTTGTACTGGTAGGAGATCTAATAAGCATAAATCTAACTATGGGATAAGCTTAAATAACCATACCAACACACCCAATAAAATATTATTACATACAATTTATACAAACTAACGCACTAGGACGTTCCGTCTCGGCTATTCACTTCCTTGATTGTATAAACAATACGGTCCTAGCACAGTCATGGTTGGGTATGGTGACTTTTAAATAAAGGAAAATTAAAAAAATGTAAAATAAGTTATTTAAATAACCTACCTCCTGCTGAAACACCAGATATAAAATTAGGCTGCTGCAATTTTGGAAAATTGATTTCTAAATTCGACGCTTTTGTGGAGCAAATAGTTCTTATCAAACAGTTTTTATTTGTAAGCTCCAAAGATTGATATTCTGTCAATGGCTTAGTCTGTATTGTTACAACATTTTTGCTCACAGTAATATATGGTTTCAATAGTTCAACTATTTCACTACTTCTCAATATGTCATAATCTCTTAAAATTGAAATACATACATTTGACTGTTGGTTTTGATATACATTTAAGTCAATTTCTTTTATTGTATATATCAATGTCAAATTTTTTATTTCATTTTTCATACAGTCATACAAATATTTCCCTTCCAATAGAATTAAGCTTTCAATTATATCTGGAACTGCTGCCTGGTCTGGACATTCTAACCTTTTGCAGAAAAAACAAATATTAAATTGACTTAAGTACAGTTTTATAAATATTGAAACCTTTATCCTAAATTAGTTTAGTAGATTTTTTTAAATCTTATTATTAATTACCTATTATGCTTATCTTCCGATGTTACATCATCCCAATCTTCCCATGCAGTTCGAGAAAGAGGCTCCACAATTTCTCCATAAGTAGCCATTTGGTTTCTTTAGAGTTGCTCTGTTACTTAAGTTTATTATTGTTCTATATTTCTGTAATTAAAAATGAATACACAGAATTTTAATATATTTAAAATAATTACCTAAATATTTCCATAATGGAGACACTTATGTACCTATAGAACCAGCATCCTATAAAAATAAATATAAATGACAAATGCATAAAATTTTAAATATGCTGATAAATCAGTACATCCAAAAAAGGGATGGTATGAATTACATTACTTATTAATCTTTATTTGCATGGTCAGGGATGGTTACATGAGTGTTAAAAAAATATGAATGGCAGGGACTTTATTTTTTCATGAATATTTATTATATGTATATATTTAAGTGTATTCATGAATAGGTATTCATTGAGGGAATAATTAACATTGAAACCAAAAACATTTGAACTTTGTCAGAGGTAGATGTTGATTACATGCTGCGCTTCTGTGAAGCCAGTTTCAATTTATTTTTACAATATTTATGTGGTGGATTAGGAAATGGTTGATTACCTAATTATGTTTGGTAGGTCAGATGATCAGATGAAAGTTTTTTATTTATTCTGAATGTGGTGCTTCCTAAGATTTACTAGTAGCTATAATTAACCCTAAAATTAATAATAGATATGTACCTAAATAAAATTTGAAACTATATTCGGTTAAAAAATAGTCTTAAATAGAATACTAAATATCAGATATTTAGTTTTCAACAGTTTGAATAATATTGACAATGAATTTATCCACTATGCACAGAATAATAAGATTAGATTAGATTTCTTCAGTGATGGCTCCCTCAGGATATTGGATACAGTATATATAAGTACTCTTTGATTGGATATACAAAGTTACTCTATGCTCAGGATTTGGCTAATATCTGGTGTTTTTGAAGATTGCCTGCCACTGCCACAGAGCAAGTAATTTGACAATGACAAGCAACTCTGAATTGAAGCACAGATTACTAAGGGTCTAATCCGTAATATATACCAGTTTACTGGCCAGTGCTAATGACGTCATGAATTGACGCTATACTGGTGAATTGTTCCGAAATATATTGGCCAGTGCACTGACGTCATAAATTGACGAAATATTAAAAATAGTGCGAATAAAGAAGATTTTTTATTCACCTCATCAAACAAAAGGAATTCGTTTTGTTGGGATGCCATTATTGTTCTGTAAATAAAAAAGAAATAAAATTCAAATGCATCTCACGCACGCTTGATCATACGTCATATCCGTTTTCCCGGAAAAAATATGGTGCATACCAGTACAATATGGCTTCGGTTTCGTGACGTTATTACCACTGGCAAGTATACTGATGTATATTTCGGAACACACCTAAAGGATTATATGTACCTATGGAGCAACATGAGTGCAACTTTAACCCCAGCCCATCCTAGTCAGAAGCACTGGTGTCGATTTTGGCGTGATTCTCTAAACTTAAAACTCCATTTAACAGAATTATTTCGGTCCATCGAACTAAAACGTTAGCCAGCTGCTCGTCCGTAATAGGGGTGAGCCATAGCGGTGTCGGCGGCGTTGGGGCAGCTGTTCAGCCATGCTGAGTACCGGGGGCTACGTCTGCGCGATCCTGACCGAGTAGATGCTACTGGGTACGTGGCATCTCCGCTGGCACGGGATGGCGCCAGCGAGTCTCACGAAAGCAAAAGAACAGAAGAACTTACAGTTTAGTTGCTTTCCAATTACAGCATTATAGCGCATTATGCGGCATAATGCTTAACGTTGAGTGTTCCAACTACAGCAACGCTTCGCACAATTGAGCACTGTCAAAAGTGATGCTTTCGTGTGATGCGTGCAATCGTACCAACTTAGAGACAGAAAATTAACAAGTGCTTTTTCTTTAAGTTGGCATTGATCGAAATGTTTTATTTATATGTTATCGTTAGTAATATTATTTATTGTTGAAAAATTATTAAAGCTTTCGTTTCATTAAATAGTTTTTTTTAAATAACCAAAGTTCATTCAAATTGTTAAAAAATAAATATAAGTATGGATGTAGGTACAAACATTGACTTTTTTTTCAACACTGAACTTAGCGCACTCTGCTGGTGCATTTGAAAACTAATTCACGTTCCAATTGAGCATCAGCATACTTCAGCATTGTGCGGCACTGAGTCGCATTATGCTCTGTAATTGGAAAGCAAAATTTGTTGTCGGAAACTTGTAGGTAGTTCGGGATCCGTGCGCGGTGCCATAGTGCGATCCCTTCCCAAAACTCGTCAGCTGCTTCTTTTTGACATGGTTGAAAGTCATAAACTGGTGTCAATTCAGTCAGAGATGTCGATTCTGGCATGATTCTCTAAAGCTAAACTTAAATTTGACAACAGTGCATCCTTGTCATTCTCTATACAGAATGAAAAGGAGAGACTGATGTTAAATTTAGTTTTAAGTTTAGAGACTCACGCTAGAATCGACACCAATATCTAGCTAAACTATTTTGAAATGGCTCTTGATTCTTGCATATTACCCAGGATATCAGTTGAATAAGAAGGATTGTCGAACGTCCTTTTTATTGCCTTAAAGATTCTTTAGATATGCTAGCCTCAAAAATGCCCAATTATATTTTATTTTCCCCAAAAGATAATGATTCTCCAAATTTTCACCAAAAGTCAGGTTTTCCCCCAGGATTGCGAAAGAAAACTGACTAGTAGTCTGTAGAAGTAGTATCTCTAACTCTAACTAGTCTGTGCTTGTTCTCTTATTAGTCTGTGCTATCAATTAAAAATAAATTTGACTATGATACGAAACATTTTATGTGTTCGTGTTTTTGTAAAGGTTTAAATAAAAATAAAAGCCATGTTAAAGGTAGTTGTACTAAATATTAATGAATAATAAAAAATTAAAACAATGATTTAATTATATAACCTCATTTCAGGATAAAGGGCAAGTCACCTTTGAGGATAAATGGCCCAATATGCGTCCTATAGTTTTAAAGCTCCTAAAACAAGAACCGGTAACCCAAATAGAATGGCAAGATCTGTTTGGTGCTGTGCATTCTGTTTGTTTATGGGATGAACGGGGGCCTTATAAATTAAGAGATGCACTCCAACAAGACATAATGATGTACATCAAGCAAGCACAGGCTCGCGTGCTAGCACAACGCGAAGATCAGGCTCTTCTTAAAGCCTACATAGCAGAGTGGGGAAAGTTTTTTACACAATGCAACTATTTACCTACACCATTTCGGCAATTAGAAAATTCAATAAATAATATCAGTAAAGTTACAAGTTCTAGTACATCAAATTCTCAAAAGAAAAACAATAATAACAACATTGAAGACAGTCTAGTTCGTAAACTCATGTTGGATTCTTGGAATCAAAGCATTTTTATGGACATTAAACAAAGACTTCAAGATTCTGCAATGAAGTTAGTCCAAGCAGAACGTAATGGAGAGTCTTTTGATTCTCAGCTCGTTATTGGTGTCAGAGAATCCTATGGTAAATAGACCATCATCATTTTATATAAATACATGATAAGAATTTTGAATTAGGTATTTAGTATTCTGGTACTTGCCAATCTGGCACACCTTAAAATTAGGGAATTGGTTAAACAGGCTACTTGTTTTGAAATACAGCTTTAAACACAATCAAGTGCCAGATTACAGATTAAGATCACTTGTTGTTATACTGAAATTTAACTTAACATTATATGGGCTTACAATATTTTTCTTTTCAGTCAACCTCTGCTCAAATCCAGTAGATAAACTTCAAATTTATAGAGATAATTTTGAAGCAGCGTATATGCAAGCTACAGAAGAATTTTACAAATTAAAAGCAAATGAACACTTGTTAACCAATGGAGTGCAGTCATACATGAAGTATGCTGATCAAAGATTGAAAGAAGAAGAAGCACGAGCACATAGATACCTGGAACCAGGAAGTGGTAGTGTTGCTGCTCTCACACAGTGTTGTGAAAAAGTACTTATTGGAGAACATTTACCTACATTATTAGCAGAGAGTGCACCTCTTATCAAGGCTGGAGAGACAGAGAAACTACAACTTATGTTTCGTTTATTAGATAGAGTCCCTGAAGGTGTGACACCTATACTTCGGGATTTAGAAGCTCATATAGTATCAGCAGGGCTAGCAGATATGGTAGCATCAGCTGATATCATAACTACAGACTCAGAAAAATATGTCGAGCGATTGTTGGATCTCTTTAAAACTTTCAGTTCATTGGTTAAGGATGCATTTATGGATGATCCTCGTTTTTTAACAGCTAGAGATAAGGCATACAAGTGTGTTGTCAATGATACAACTGTCTTTAAATTGGAATTGCCTTCCTCAGCCCTAATTCGTGGTAGCAAAGGTACTGCACCTGAGAGCAAGTGCCCTGAATTGCTTGCTAATTACTGTGATATGTTGTTACGTAAGACACCATTAAGTAAACGTTTGACCAGTGAGCAAATTGAAAGCAGACTCAGAGATGTATTGTTAGTTTTAAAATACATTGAGAATAAAGATGTTTTTATGAGATATCACAAAGCCCATTTAACAAGGAGATTAATACTAGACTCTAGTGCAGACTCTGAAAAAGAAGAGGATATGGTGGAATGGCTTCGTGAAGTAGGCATGCCTGCTGATTATGTTAATAAATTAGCAAGAATGTTCCAAGATATTAAGGTCAGTGAAGATCTTAATACACAATTTCGAGGAGAAACTACTCGCCATGATGCAATCAATATAAAAATCCTTAATGCTGGAGCTTGGGCCCGTGGATCTGAAAGAGTTACTGTCAGTCTTCCTTTAGAACTGGAGGATTACATTCCTGAGGTAGAGGAGTTTTATAAGAAGAAACACTCTGGACGTAAATTGCAATGGTATCATCACATGAGTAATGGCACTATAACTTTTGCCAATTCAGTGGGTCGATTTGATTTAGATGTAACAACTTTTCAAATGGCAGTCCTGTTTGCATGGAATCAAAGGCCATTGGAAAAAATAAGTTACGAAAATGCAAGACTCGCTACTGAGTTGCCAGATCCTGAATTGAGAAGAACTTTGTGGTCTTTAGTAGCATTCCCGAAACTAAAAAGACAATTGTTATGTTATGAACCTGCTGTTCAAAACCCTAAAGATTTTGCTGAAAACACTACATTCTGGGTAAATCAAGAATTTGCCCTGATAAAGAATGGGAAACCACAAAGAAGGGGTAAAATTAATTTGATTGGAAGACTTCAATTAAGTACTGAAAGATCACAGTTAGAAGACAATCATTCTATTGTACAATTAAGAATATTAAGAACTCAAGAAGCAATAATTAAGATATTAAAGATGAGGAAACGCATAACTAATACAGCTCTGCAGGTAAGATATTGTTCATGGTGTGTTCAAACAACAGAACAATCTAACAACATTGATTTATTGTCACCATTATTTGTTTCCTGATAAACTTGTAAGCAATCAAATCAAAAGTTTTAGACGAGGTTTGGTAAATTAAGAAAATTTGATAATAACTTGCAATGAACAGATTCTGTTCAATTTTATTTGATATTTCAGTGATCCACTTCAAAACTGAAGCAATTAGCCTTGTGATTAGCTTAACTCTTTCCCATGAATGAAATGAAAGAGTTGCTTAATTAGGCCAAAGGTCACATGCTTACCCTATGGCATAAACACATTAATATATTCATAATATGAAAAACTAGTAGGTAGTTTGTACAGGGTGGCAAAAGAATCGAAGGGGTTTGAAAAGTCTATAATTTCTTTATTTTTGAACCAATTCAATTTCTTTATTAACACTTCATGGGGAATTTTAGTTAATTTAAACATGTTAAGAGGTGCTCATTTTCTGCTTTGCAAAGTTGCGCTCTTTCACACGTTTTTCATGACTTTTCTTAAGATTGCAGGAGCTTTGCTCGAATATCTTCCAGAATATTATTATTTAGTTAGGGTGTGGTCTCTGGCTTATTCACGTACGCACGTTTGTTTAATTATCCCCAAAGAAAAAAATCAGCAGCGGTAAAATCCGTCAAATGCGAAGACCAAAAAAAAAACCACCGCAAATTTGCGAAGCTGAGAACGGGCACCACATACGCGACGTTATTTTTCAAGTTTAAATTAACCAAATTCCCCATTAATAAAGTGTTCCAACATTAATTGAAAAATTAAATTGATTTAAAACTATAGAAATTTTAGACTATTTAATCCCCTTTGTGTCTTTTGCGCCACCCTGTACCAGGTTGCTATCTCTATTATGAATGCATTTCTTAACAGTTTCAATTGGGATAGGGCTTTGCCTACAGTACAGGTTATCCCTATGCCTGTTTCCTTTACAAAATATACTGAATTAGATATGTAGAGATTATACTAGAAAATTAGGGACTTTCACCCTTCTTAACTCAAAGACTACGGATTTTATAAATCACAATCCTAACTGCTACGCGTTCACTTTAATATGGCCGCTCATACACTCCAAGCCTCACCGCATCGCGCTCATAGCAAGACTCTTAGTAGTCGACGCTATTGGTCGACAGTACCAGTTGATGTGCCTGTGATTGGCTTGTGATGACACATTTTGTACCGGTCATCGATAGCCAACTTGAAGCGAACGGGTAGTAGTTAAAAACATTGTATTTAACTAAATGGAATGTTTTTAACTCAGAACTGTTCTTTCTATTATTTACAGAGTGAACTAGTTGAAATTTTGAAGAATATGTTTCTGCCTTCAAAGAAGATGATAAAAGAACAATTAGAATGGCTAATTGAACACAAGTACATGCGTCGTGATGATGAAGATATCAACACTTTTATTTATATGGCCTAATATTCCTTATTTGAAGTGTACATTAAATCAAATAAATTATTTACTCATTATTTAACTTTTTTTTACTTAAAAAAAGAGGTTTTAATTATGAGACACTTCAACGGGTTATCATTATATAAGCATTTATCCAAGCCTGAAAATAATCAGATTCCATTAAGTAAGCCAACGAAATTAAATACCCTAGATACACCACGTGCGCTCAATATGTGTTCCAATCAAGAAGCGCTTGAATACTTATCAAGCTCTTATCTTGGTTTATGTCACGCGCGGACCGTTGAAAAGTTAAGATGCCGCAAAGCTCCGTGAAAAAATACTTATAGTGCGTAGTGTCCTTTTTTCGACAGGTACCTAATCAATGATTGTTAATTTGAAGCGAATTTTGTACTTACCATCAGGAGGAGCTCGATGGCGCAAGTGGTTAGCGGGTTCGGCTGCGATCGTTGAACTTAAGCAACTTTCGTAGTGGTCGGTCATTGGATGGGTGACCAAAAATTACTATCTCGAGCTCCTCCGTGCTTCGGAAGGCACGTTAAGCCGTTGGTCCCGGCTGCATCTGCAGTCGTTAGCACCCACCAATCCGCACTGGGCCCGCGTGGTGGGTCATGGCCCAATCTCCCTATTCCATCCATAGGGAAAGCCTGTGCCTCACCCAGCAGTGGGGATATTAATAGCCTGATGATGATGATGATGACTTACCATCAACTGATTTCAACGATATTAAATTGTCCCAATCAAGAAGTGCTTGAACGCCACTCAAGCACTTCTTGGTTCATAGCACTTCACACTCACGCGCGGACCGTTGATAAGTCAAGTTGCCGCAAATCTCCGTGAAAAAAAAAACTTTTAGTATGTAAAGTGTCGTTTTTACGATAGGTATCTAATCAATTACTAGTTAACGCATTTGAAGTATATTTTGTTCTAATATTATATGAACTGATTTAATAGAAAATATGTTAGATAAAACAAAAAGGGAAGATACGGTACGCTTATACTTGCATTAAATAAAATATTATCCGACTCAACTACCTAAGCAACTTTCACACACGCACTCTTTTCTAAATAAACATTCAACCGAGCGAGGGAGACAGAATTGTACGCTTCAACGCAGCGCGAGCGAAACGGCGCGAGTCCGCGTCGCTTTGTAGCCGACTGCGTTTTCTTTTCTCTCTCTTAGGCCGGGATTCCACCGAAGCGGAGACGAGATGTTTTTTAAACATCCAATAGAATTGTGTTATTGACACATCTCTTCTTAGCTCAGCTTCAGTGGAGATCGCTGTGCGGAGATGTGTGATATTTGTATGGGGCGATGGAAGCGGAGATGTGATTTGTGCGCGGACGACTGCGCAGTGGAGATCAAATATGTGAGCGGCGTGTAGTGAGTGGTCTCACCCTCCCCCTTCTCGCCCGCCAGCAACCCGCAGAGCTCCGCTGAGCACTCAACGCCTCGCACCCGAGCTGAAAAACATCTCGCATAGGACACAGCACACCGCAAACATCTCTGCTTTGGTGGAGTCCACCGTGCTGAAAAATATCTCTTCTCGCACAGCACACATTTCTGCTGAGCTGTAGGTATTGTTGTCCTTTTCTTGATAAAAAATGGCGAATCAGTAACTCTAAAATAGTCCAGCTGCTCAGAGATTGCGTTTCTGACAGATCGTGTCAGTTCCTTACATTCATGGCAAACAAACCGTGATTTTTGAGAAAAAAATGTTTAAGAATGAAAAGGGTTGCCGTGGCATTTGTTATTTGATCTTGAACTATTCGTGTTCTTTATAAAAGCATCGAAGGCTTTGTTTTATTTTTTTTACACAGAATATGCGCAATATTGTTATATTGAGTGCACATGCAGCGTGTTCGATTGTCCAATTTTGGCTAAAGAAATTGTCGTCTTGCACCACAATTTAAGCGGATTACTTTTTAGCCGCGTGTGCCGTATCTTCCCTTTTTGTTTAAATCAAAGGAAAATATTTACTATATTCAAAGGCATGGTCGGTTACATAGCCATAATTTTTTCTTCGCGGTCTATTCCTGCTATATTGTTAACAGCGCATTCAGAATTGCGCGTAGAATCAAAGAAATAAGGTCTATAATCTTCCGCATAGCAATAAGTCGTAAAATTTTACGAGCTTGCATTTCGAACTGTCATAACTCTTTGACGCTTGCGTTTTAATGTAGACCTTATACAGTATGCATTAAAGGTGACTTTAACCCTCTTATTAATAAACATATAATAAGCTTGGATTAGTTACTCCATGTTTTGTCTCTGTTCATTGAATGACAAATGTCATTTGAGTGATATGAACAAAACACGGCGTAACTAGTCTAAGCTTATTAATAAGGGGGTTAATGTTAAAATAATGCCTTGTATAGTTTTTGACAACGCGATTATCTTACGGAGCTCCGTGGATCGTCCACTGTACCTTTTGGACAGGTTTCGGGCACGATTTTGTTGGTGTTGGTGTATGTAGACCTTATACAGTATGCATTAAAGGTGACTTGTATATAGGGTATTTAATATTGTTCAAGTAGGCCATTGAAGTGTTATTAGTCTCAAACTAAAATCACAACCACCTTATTTTTGTTTATAAACTCTTGAATTACTCCAGCAGTTCCTGAACCTTAACCGAGCGTAGAGCTGAACCTGAAAGGAGATATCCTAGTCGTCTAAAAAAACCTGTCAGATTCGAGGAGCACCACTACGTGACTTCTCAGATCAAGAACTGAAACCTTCATGGATGTTGGTGTTCACCCACAAAAGGATAAGTGTTTATCATGGGAGAGTCACGCAGTAGCTTAGGCTACTACTACTTACGTAATTGCCAGAGCGAAGTCAGAGCACATTAGCAGCATTGGCGAGAGATTAATAAAACTTCCCTCTGGAACACGCGCGTTTTGGTCTCTTGCCAAGGCTGTTGAAGGAAATTTCTGTAAGCCATCCCTTCCACCCTTGCACAATGGCGACGAATCGATGGCCCAAACTGCAAAAGAGAAAGCGGATCTTTTATGCTCACTCTTTGCGTCTAACTCGACTCTAAATGACAGGGGATACATACCGCCGACCATCCCGCGGTGTGAGAGCTCTATGCCGGAGATCCGGTTCACACAAAGCTTAGTGCGTAAAGCACTCTTTTCCCTTGTCATCCACAAGTCGAGCGGGCCTGATGGAATCTCACCAATTGTGCTGAAGACGTGTGCTCCTGAGTTGGCTCCGGTACTAACGCGTCTTTTCCGGCTCTCCTACTGTTTAGGTGTCGTTCCGAACTCATGGAAGACAGCTTTAGTGCACCCGATTCCTAAAAAAGGCGACCGCTCACTCCCTACTAATTATAGGCCTATAGCCATCACCTCCTTGTTCTCCAAGATAATGGAGTCCATTATAAATTGCCAGCTCCTGCGGTACCTAGAGGACCACCAGCTGATCAGTGACCACCAGTACGGTTTCCGTCAGAGTCGCTCGGCTGGTGATCTACTAGTATACATGACTCATCGTTGGGCAAAGGCGATCGAGACCAAGGGGGAAGCATTGGCGGTCGGTCTGGATATCGCGAAGGCCTTCGATCGGGTTTGGCACAAAGCGCTTCTTTCGAAGCTTCCTTCTTATGGGCTTCCTGAAAAGCTGTGCGTTTGGATCACTAGCTTTCTTGCGGACAGGAGCATCAAGGTCGCAGTCGACGGTGCATGCTCGGACTCCAAATCCGTAAACGCTGGTGTTCCACAAGGCTGTGTGCTATCGCCTACGCTGTTTCTTCTTCATATCAATGATATGCTTCAAATTGATGGCATTCATTGCTATGCAGACGACAGCACGGGCTTAGAGCATTTATACCAGGAGGTGCCATTGCGTTCACTCGCCGAACAAATTTTTTCACCATTTTTGGTGCGGGACGAGGTACACACGTATAGCACAGTAATGAAAATATGCAATACTCCCACAAACACGAGCGTGTTGTTGCTATAAACGCACACTTCAAAAATTACGTCACACAAATAAAAAAACGCACACACGCTAACAATTTTTATGTAACTATGCAATTGTTCGAGCGTACACCAACACAAAATTAGGGATGTGGCATTAAAAGAATGAACGATATTTGAATGAGTAGTTCTTGATGAATGAACATAATGTTTGTTTATAATGAAAACAAGATGTTTCATTTATAAATATCTATCTGAAAGCTTATTTATAGTTTTAGTACTTATGATTTTTATGCTCAAAATTCAATGTTTATTTTTGCAAATTATATTGCTGTGCAAAAAATCTTTCCACCTGATTTTGCTGCCTTTTATCGGATAACCTGCCTATATTTAATTGCTTTTACACCCTTAATAATATCAAACGCAGTATATCGACACAAAACACTGCGTAACTGACCCAAGCTTATCCATTCTTTGTTTAATATAATGGGGATAGCGAAAAAATATACTGCAGTGAATTAAAGTTATTTGTTTTATTGATAATGTTTTCGTCAGTGGCTTAAAAAGTCAATAAATTTATCATGTGTCATTAATAAGAAAAAAAACCTCAATTTTTTCTAGCTTTCGGCAAAGATCAATCCCATGCTTTCAACGAGTGCTTCGCTAGCGTATATGTATATATATAGAAAATGATAAAAAAATATTAACCTATATATTTCGGGAATCTGGGGGAATTTTACTTTTTGCCGTAAGACGGAGCAGTATGTAGTTAGTTCACGAAATGACAGTTGATTTTGCATTTATATAGACGTTGAACGTTGATTGGATAATTCTTAGGTATTACATTGTAATCGAACCAAAAGTTAGAGTCTAAGTCTAAATAATGCGTTGATTGATATCGGTTCTGCAGTATTCATATCTGGTCAAGCTTACGTAGCACTTTCGAGAGTTACAAATCTTGGCGGCTTACATTTAATTAATCTCGACCTCAATTTGTGAATATAAATAGACTTAGAAGCAATTATCGTTCGGACTTGACAAAGCTTTTAACATCAAAGCCTCCGAGAAAAACCCATAGATACAGGGAGTGGGCTTTGAGAAAAGCTGTAGCTGAAGCTCAGGAAGTAGTACCGGA